CCTGGACTGAGCCACGCACTGCACACACAGCCAACTCAACAGCTCCACGGGGGCCTTTGTTCCTCAGGCCCGCGGCTAGAAGCCTGCCCGCGCCGGCCACGGAGACAGAATTCGCTTGCATCCCAGCACTCGACAGGAATTATTTTTGGAATTATCTGCTGGTTGTTTGGGATAATCTTTTTTTCTACGAGGCCAGATCTAGAACTGGCTTTGAGTGACTCACAGTGGGTCAGGATCTCCTCCAGGGCCTGGCACATCCTAAGAGCTCAAAAGGAAGTAGTTAGCTGAAAGAAGGAATGAATGAAAATTAATTAACGAAGAGCGCAATCTAGCCAAAGTCCACTGCGAGGAGAGAACAACAGGGCCAGAGCGCTAACACGGGCCGAACACTTATCTTGAGTCAGGCACTGCACTGGGGGCTTGTTTTTCCATTTCAGAGACGAGGAAACCAAGGCTCGGCAGCACCCGACTACTCAGGAAGCATGTCTGCCTCCAGAGGATTGCTCCTTCCTCTCACACCATGAAACTTCGAATATGCAGTTAACTGGACACCCTCTTACTGAGCTTCTGCTCTGGGCAGGGCTGCGTGCTGGGCACTGGGGGGCCAGGGAGGGGGACAATGACCAAGAGGAAAGACAGCGCTGTCCTTCAAGGCCTTGGAGTGGAGAGATACGCCATGCACACACCTTTCTGGTCACAGGCAGACAGTGAGGGGTGGGGTGGGGTCGGCACGGTCGTCTATTTCCAAGCAAAACTGTTTAAGTTAAGGCCTTCGGCCCGAATTCTGGAGCTGGCAGGCAGGCGGAAAGAGGAAGAGAAGGGCCCTGGACAGAAACCTAGCTTGTCCAATACAAGTGTCAGTGGAAGAGGGGAGTCCCCTGAACAAAGGAGGCCATCAGCCTCTGGGAGCAAGAGAAGGACTCAGCCAAACCCCGCCCCGTGAAAACTCTGCCGCCTGGGCAGTCTGGTGGTCCCCACTGTGGGTGGACATACCCCAGACCATCTGCAGGCACACGGTCCTGCGCGTGACCCAAGTGCCACTCACGCACGCACCCTGCCCTCCAGGGGCACACGGTCACGTTGGCCTCTCCTGCCTCGGTTATCTGTCTGGAGTCTCAGTGGGACCCTCAGGGCGACACGTGGCGCATTAACACACCCAGGGCGGCGGGGGGAGGGGGGAGCTGACTCGTCTTTGTCGGCTCAGTGAGGTGGGTCCAGCAGGGGCCTCCGCCTCCCCTGCCCCCCTCCTTACTCTATCGGCGGCTGCCCCCTCCCCCTCCCCGCACACACACACTTGTTTCTGTCCTTTGTTTTCCACCCGGGCCAAATCCCCGGGGCTTCTTTGGTCATTAGCCTCCTGCTTTAATTAGCTTAGTGGGGAAGCAGAGCAAATTCAGGGGTGGGTGTCAAGGGGGAATCTCATTTCGGTGGGGACAGGAAGGCTCGGAGCAGCTGGTGACAAAAATGCCTGGCACACAATAAGTCCTATACAAGTGTGTGCTATTTCTATTAATGTGAAAAACAGTCACCTGGTCCACAGAGCAGGAGCCTCCCCCCACGAGAGGGCCCCACGGGCCCCCAGGAGCACAGGTGGCCCAATCCGCGTTCCTGGGGCAGAAGGAGAGGGGACAAGAGCCTACCTCTCCACTCCCTCTGCCGCTCAAGCCCTAAAGCTTGCTGTTAATGTTCGGTCAAATCCCCAGCGCAGGGGGCACCAACTCTGGGGCCCTCCAGGGGTGCCTGGCCGTGGTTCCCCTCCCTTTGATCTTCTGCTGATCGGGAGCAAGAGCCCTGCCCCTCCTGGGATCCTCCACTCTGGCCCCCAGCCTCCTGCTGTTCAAATCTCCTCTTTCCAAGAACCAGCTGAGGGAACTGGGCTTCACCGCCCCGGCCCTCAAGGCCTCACAGTGGCAGCTCTGTGAGGTCACCTCATCTCTCTGTTCCCCGCCTCCAGGCAGGACTTTACCTCACAACCCAGTTCAGAGTTTGGGTTTCCAAGGCCCTGCAGAAAAGGACACCTTCCCACTGTAGCTCACCCCCACCCATTCTCACGAAACGATTTTGGGAAGTTCTTCTGAAAGTCCAACCTCAAGCCCTCGGGCTGCAGTGCACCGTCTCTCCCCTTGGGAAGGGCCCAGGCATAAGAAGGGAGACAAAAGAAATGCTGGAGAGGCGGCGTAGGGAGGGAAAAGGTCGCAGTACACCCCGACTTGCCCCAACTCCCTCTAGAAGTACCCAGCTGTCCAATTCACGCCTTAAAAACTTATTTTTACTTTCACCGAACGTCCAG